TATTGCGGATAGACACGCTGGTTCTATTGTTACAGCACCCTGAGTATATATATTTTGACTCTTTTACTCTCAGATGAGCAGAAAGTAGTTCTCCTGAGTCCTGACAATAGACCTAGTCAGAAGAATAGAGTCAAAATAATTTTAATTAGGGGGCCTATTGGCAATTTTGGGACAACAATTGAACTACATGGGGTCCATCGTAATTCGGTGACAGTGCAGGGGGTCAATCTCCAATCAACCCATGTCTTTATGCTATAATTTTGTTCTCAATAATGGCTCTAATATTAGAGGTAAATATATTTACTCTCATGTTTGACTGGCCATAAAATTTCCATAGCCATAAAGTCTTCCACCTGACCTCCCTCTCTGTTGGAACAAAACAAAGTGCTACTCTCCATTGTCTTTTCTCTTTTTTGGGAATAATTCATAGTCTTTTCTCTTGTTTGATTGGTCTTCACATTGCACCTTGAGTAAAATGCTTTATTCCAACAATTTGAGGATTGGCCCCAACAAAACGTCCTTCATATCAGGAATCTTAATCTATGGACTGGAAAATCGCTTTTAGAGCTATAGTTCTAGTTTGCAAACCTGTTTTTGGAATATCAAGTTGAAATTTTGAAGGAAAAGATTATGCTATAATCCACTTTTATCAATTGAATAGAACCTTTTCCAAGATATATGCAAAATGAAAAAGAAAGATATCAATATTCAGTTACTAATCTAAAAGGAGATTTTTAATTTAGTTGTTTTCTAAAATATATGTCTTGTGATGATGAACTTTGCAGGCTGTTCTAAAACTTTTTTCGCATAATGAAGCACTAATTTCATGTACTTGCAATCTATTCAAATTTTACGTAGTTGCAAACCGCGCTAAAAATTGATTCTTGAGAGTGTTACTGGTATTTTTTTCCCCGTAAGAAATATTGAAACAGGATGTACATCACTAACTTAATTTTGAATTAATCAAAAAATAACTTATTAGCATTATAATAGACATCTGAAATCAATTTCTCTTACTATATATGCAGGAGTTGAAACCTGGCAAGTTTGATTATATGGCTGAAGTTACTTCCCAAGGCATTTTCCTTTTCTGAAATATATGCATGCATTAAAAGTCTACCTTAAATTGACTAAGTTGATAACTTAGGTCTTGTGACATTACATTTAAGTCAGGTATAACTTTTTTGCTTTAATAATTTGCTGACTGCTTCATACATCATGCAGTATTATTGATATTGTGAACAAAGGAAGATTAAATTGTATGAGTATAAAATACAGGTTGATCTGCCCACAACTGTATTTTAAGGTCTACATGGTCTAAATAGTTTTTTGGCATATGCAAAGGAGAGATATGTTTAATCTTTAATATTCTTTTTTCTCCCTTCTTACTGAGTTTCAAAATTTTTTGACCTTCAAGAAAACATCAATAAATCAGGTGGCTCTTCTACGCATTGAAGTACATAGAATTGTGATTAGAAGTTATATGCCATTGTTTTCGCCAATATTATTCGCTTAATGTATATTGTTAAACAGTAAGATATTGTAGATTCTCATTCATATTTTAGAAGCTACAACTACTCCCCTTCATATAGGAATACAGTAACAAGAAGTTCATTGTGTAGTTAATGTGGGACTAAACACAATTATTCTCTCAGTTACATTTCTAATATCTCTCAATCACCAAATCTCTAATGTATACTCCTAATATATTATTCCTCATATAACTGTAACACCCCATAATATACTCCTTAACACATATAAACAAAGCTAAGTGTTCAAAATGTGTGTTTCACTATCAGACAAAAGAAACCTCCCCATGCCTGGCAAACTTTTAGCTACATAGTAAAAGGAAGAAAATGACATCACTCATCGACTAAACAAAATTAACCCAAAAGAAGAAAATAAGGACGAATATCGTATACACTTTCATTAAGCCACAGGTACGTGGATGCTAGTGCTGGTATCAAATACACTTTCGTCAAGCTACAAGTACATAGTAATTAAATACATGCAATTGCCTCATTGCTTCCATCTAGGTGTACATCAAGAACTATGACCCCACTTGATGCGCACATTGGCTTCATCTTTGTAGCCTTTTTGCCTTTAGTTGAGACTCGGATACCTCAACCTCCTGAACGAGAAAAGTAAACCACATAGAAAATTACGTGAACTAGCGGTCAGAAAAATGATAAGCGACAGGTTAAAGATCATGAAACGAGTACTAGTGTTTCCTTTTAAACCATACAATGGTGCACGCCTGCTTAATAATCGGTGTTCGGAGAACTGTCTATTTTTGGATCAGTGCGCGCGCGGATTTCAAAGGGTTTTCACTCTTGGTGCCCAAGCTGTACTCTAGGGGATGGTTTCACTCGATAGTTTTTTCTTGGTTGCAAAGGCGAAGGAACAAAGTAAACTTTTGTTTCTTAAGCGTTTGTGCTAATTAATTAATTAAGCTTCTGTTTCTTAAAGTTAACTACTATTATTTATACCTCTGTTCATCATGTCTGGCTCTACTCTAGAGGACTGGACATAAGGGAAGGGCACATTGCCAGATTCAATGTGCCTAACATCTTCTTCGAGAAGCTGATAATGCCTCTTGACATCCTCCACTGACCTCCCGACCGCGCGGGCAATGTTCTGCCATCGGTCGGGGGTTTCCTGGTCGTAAACTGCCAATGCTTGCTCGAACATTTTGTTTTGCTTCGCGGTCCATGGTGATCCGGAGCTGTGGGGGAGGGAACTAGAAGCCATTGGAAGAAGATGGCGGTGTAGTTTGAATGGGGGTTGAACGAGGAGTTAGGTTGGTTCAGGAAAGGGTGTTGAGAAGGGGGGTGGTATTTATAAGGGAGGAGGGTAGGAGGAGAATAGAAAATTTTCGATTGCCTCTTGTTTGGTTCAGAACATTCCGCTCGTACATGTTTAGAGGGAGATGAGAGGGATTATTATATATGTTTCAGAATTATAAGATTGTGATGGACATGAGAAGTATTAACTCTATTCCACTACGCCAAAATTTAGAAGTTGTGATGAATTTTGAGTGACAATTTTACGCTCTCACATTTCAATGCGGGTTGACTATTATCCTTTTACAGTTTGAAATCTAGACTATTTTACACAATCGATAACTTTTACTCTAGAAAATCCATTTTAAATATGTGTCTGATAAAATTTGAGTGTTGATTGGTATTTTTGCATCTTAAAGTCATTTCCATTATAGTTCTAACAAGCTTTAAGGGTTATAATTTGATACTCTAATAAGAGTAATGTGTTTTTAGATGGCGGAAAGGATCCTCTATCAACCCATAGAGAGAGAAAGAAGAGGGGAGGGTTTTCCTAAGCATACCCTTGATAAATCAAAGGCTAAGATCTCCTCATTAGGAGATCTTAGGAGGATCCTCATTAGTAGAGGATCCCAATCCCTTGTTTATATATGGTTTGGTATGCGCATGATCATAGGCAAAATGTCCTAGCTTAGTCTCTAATATTGAGAAGGAGGTGGTCCACATTTCGATGCTACTTCATCCTTGCATTATATTTGGGAGTTTACTGGGGAAAGAAAAAGAAAGATAAAATAGAGAAAGGAAAGATAGAGAAGGAGAGAGAAAAGATAATATCTTAGTTAAGTGTTTAATAAAGAGAAAGAATGAGAATTTATATTATCATGTTTGGAAGTTCTAATAAAGGGAAGGAAAGAGAAAAAAAATAGTGTCAAAGTCAAATCTTAATAGCTGATCCATAATGACAGAAACCAACTATTATGATCAACTCCCCTCTCCTCCTCTGCACCTCACTTTAAGGGGAACAAAATGACAATTTTTTTTTTATGAATGTCACCTTCCCTACCCTTCGAGACCCCCCTTAAAAAAGCTCCTATACAAAATTTATTATCAACTTTCCTTCCCTTACCGACGCTGTGCGGAAGTGATAACCTCGGAATCCACCAATGAGTGTTCTCTGAATCCATAAAGAACGATCTCCGAATCCACGAAAAACTTTGAATCCATGGCAAAAATATTAAAAGAGAAGTTTTATTGATAAAAAGTTATGACTCTAGGGTTTACACTATTCTGCTTAAATAAAAAATAAACAAGACTCCTGCTATGACTAAAACTTTACCAAAAATAGAAATAACAAAACTATTCCTAAAAGACTCCCTAGAATTAGGGAAGTAAATTGGTTGAATTTGGAATCAAATCGGATTTGCTTACTAATCAAAACAAACTCCTAAAATTTTACCTTAAATAGTAAAAACTGATAAAAAAGTTGATATCTCTCAATCCGGAGGGAATTTGATGAAACGGACGACGACAAACCAAACATCGGTCGGTTTTGTTGATCCGTCCCAAAAAATACGCGATTTACATAAACAATTCGTCCAATTCTGACTTACGGTTTGAGAGATTGGACTCGTTTTTCGTTGCAAGTTATTTTTCTCGATCGGGTCCACGTTTGGGCTTGTTTTGGTCCCGCTTCTCCATAAATATGTTTGTGGTGTGTTCTACATCACCTACCCTTTGCTACCCTCCATCCGAACTAGGGCTGAGCATGGTTCGATCCAAGCTGAAAAAACCGACCCAAGCGACCCGAACCGATCCGAAAAAATTGGTTTTATGAGTAGGACGGTTCGGGTCGGTTTGAAAACTTTTTAACCCGAGCCGACCCAAACCGACCGAATATAGTGCAATACTACTCATTCTGATCTCAAACCCTACCCGACCCGTCCCCAAAGAGTCATTCTGATCTCAAACCCTACCCGACCCGTCCCCAAAGAGTCAAAGACTCAAACCCTAAACTCATTTTCTGAATCATTATGGGTTAAAAACAATATCATTATATCAGTGTTTAATGCTTCATAATCTCCTACTTTGTTTATCTTTTTTTTAACACTGTTTGTTGTTTGATAAGAAGTTTGATGAAGTTAGAACCGAACAAACCGAACCGAACCGACTTGTAACAGTTCGGTTCGGTTTTGAATTATAGGCGGTTCGGTTCGGTTGTTCAAATTTTGGTAAAAACCGAACCGAACTGACCGATGCACACCCCTAATCCGAACACACAATTAGTCTTCTTATATTTATTGCAACAATGAAAAACTCTATATGGGGCTTCTTCTAAGCAATTATAATGTTTTCCTAGCTCTCTGGTGCAAAAGATAATCCCTAGAGTCTTCCTATATATCTGGCATAATGTGCAATGTAGGATTTACCTTAGTACTCCATAACTTTTTTTAAGTGACAAATAATGCAAGATAAACTGTACTTGCTGCAACATGAACTTTTTTTTTAAAGTTATCCATTCTAATTCTAATTCAAATTCAAATTCTGTTATCAAAATCTTGTTGAAACCAAAGCCCTATATTTAATAACACCAAAATCTAAGTACTAGCAGACATGTGCATCTACTGCACTGCTCTTAACCTAACATTTATTAAGAGTTTGTATTCCTCTGCAACTCTACTTCTAGAATGACCGCTAGTAATATAAGATATAAGAAAATTATAGGATACAGAGAATTAGTGGCTCTTATCTGGAATGGTTTTTGAATACTAGTATACATTAATGCAGTAAGACATCTCTTTGATATATTGTTAACGCAATAGACTAAGATCATGACGAATATTTTCTCTGATCCATGAGAGTCCTCTCTTTGTGCAGCAACCATGAACTAGACCAGGATTATTTGATAGTTTCCAAGGAGAGACAAGCAAAACCCATAAAAGGTTCACAGCCTTTTAGGGCAAAATTTTCTACATCATCATTTTTTTTGCATTATTTTAATGTCAATAATAAAGGTGGATCTTGACCATTTTTTGACCCAATTGAATCCTACAACTTTTGGTGAAAAGCATAGGTTCTCTCATTAGCTCTTTATATAGACTCTCTTTTCCAAGGGGATGGGGATGGGGTTTGAGATTCGTCGTATTAACTGTTTTCTGGCCTACGACATTGATAATGAATGAATGAGCAATGAATACAGAGATCGTCTACATGACTGATCTACAACAAAGTTATATGCTTCTATTTCATTATTCTCTTTGAAAGAATAATCCCACATTTCTACTTGGTAATCCACTTGTACAAAGTAAGGTGATTCCATTTGAATCTTGCCTACTGTTTGCGGCAGTGTGGTTGCTTTGTAACAAATAATATTATCTTACTGTTGACAAAGCGACCGTGTGTACAATTGGTGGTCCAGAGACTACCATATCAATGCAAAATCGAGACAACTTCTTTAGATCACCATCTGTCCAGTAGACAAAACCAGCTATATTGTTTTTCATTATCTCTTCATTGCGGCTCATTTTATGCTTAAATTGTGTGACGAGTGCCATCAGAACTTTGTGGATATCTGCAACTGAGCTTATTCCACACAATTGTCAGGCCTGATATTTCATCTTCACCAGTAACATATCAGTATAAATGCTTTTTTTCTATACATAAATCCTCACCGACTACAGATAACTACATCTTTCCTTGATTCATCGTGGACAGTTCTTCTTGTTGACATGTTGCTTTGTAATCAAAGATACATGTTTCATGTTTCAATATTATAACCGATTATATATGCACTGGCCTTAAACATCAAATCTCAAACTGACCCCTAAACTTAAGGAATTGACATTTCAAATTACATGACATTTTGTACATGTTTGTGTTAATCTCTTGAACTGAATATCGTGACAGTCAATTTTTTTAACCATTTCAGACAATTTCAGTGACTGCATTTTTTTGTTATAGGTTGCCTCAAATACTCAAATCCATATTGCTTTGGGAGTTCCTTTTTTAGTTTGGTTTGTTTTGATCAAGAGTTCTACTGACCTTATACTTTGCACAACCAATCATATTAGAGGTTTATTCCTATTTGGACTCTTGTTTGGTTTTAGTACATGTGGACGTCTATTCCTATTAGAAATCTTATTCCTTAGACAACAATGAGCTGGGATCTCCAAGGCTATATAAGAACAGTCTTTCAAGCCAATTAGATGTATTAATCTTCAAAGCACCCAATCAAAGAAGAGAGAGTTCTTTTGTGAAGCCTATTTGATATTCTTCTCTTTTATTCCTTTAGTTGAGAGTTGTATTAGGCTTTTGGGGTATTATTTGGGATTGAGAGATTGAGAGATTCCACTTTGTATTCCTCACAATTAGTAAATTTTTCTCCTCCTTCGCCCATGGACGTAGGTTACAAGCCGAACCACGTATATCTTTGTGTTCGTGTGTTCTTGATATTTTTCGTGCTCTCCTGTGATTGATATTAGCTTATCCTGGGGAATTTATCATAACAAATTGGTATCAGATCCCTCAGCTATCGATTGAACGAGAAGATGACGACAACTACTACGAAGTGGGATATCGAGAAGTTTGACGGTAACATCAGTTTCAGCCTTCAGCAAGTTAGGATGATCGCCGTGTTGACACAGAGTGGATTGAAGAAGGCTTTGTTCGGGAAGTCGAAGAAACTGGCTACTATGAAGGAGGAAGATTGGAACGAGTTGGATGATAGAGCTCTCACATCGATCCAGTTATGTTTGACAAATAAAGTTTTGCAAGAAGTTCTCACGGAGAAAACAACCGCTGATTTGTGATCTAAATTGGAGAATTTGTATTTGACGAAGTCGCTCACTAATCGACTCCTCTTGAAGCAGCGTTTATACACACTTCGGATGTCGGAAGGAACACCCATCAAATCTCATATTGGTAAATTTAATTCTGTGATTACAGAATTGATTAAGATTGATATTAAGATAGATG